GTATTTTAGCCTTACTCATTGAGTCTCTCTGAGAAGAGGCCTTCGGCAACTTAGGTACTTAGGCTCTAGGCATTATGAGACACCACTACATGCCTTCGCATCAACATGGTGCATGCGCCCTTACGACCACACGCTCTTTACTTGCCTCCTTGGACTATCGGTGGATTACTGTCAGCGACGACCCTGGGTCGGCCTGATGTTGGCTTCAGCAAACGTCCCGACTAGGACTTTAAACCCCGTGTTGATACCTCAACAGTCGTACAGTGTATACGACCTGTTGGCCCTCCAATCCCAAGATAATCACCTAGTCGTTTGGCTGATATCGGGGTATGGGTATGTTGAGACCCCGGGCTATTAGGACGTCGTCCGGAATAGGTCGGGGTATGGATAGAATTAGACCCTGTAGGGAATGAGAGTCGAAGGGGTCTAAGGCGAGAACACTAAGCACAAGCCGATATCAAGCCAAAATGGGCCTGAGATTAGACGAGGTAGAATCTACTGTACAAGAGATTCTACTACTGGTTATAAAGTAATTAATAAATACTTGGTGATCATTGTTCCCTAGTAACTAACACTGTGCAGGGTTAATGCGATAGTTATTCGGTGTAGAGGGGGTTTCGATGCCGATCGAAACCTCCTGGTTTGAATAACCCGATCGGGATTTGAAATCGTTGGTGCCGACTTTGCCGTGTTTGCCGTTTGTGGGTACCGAGCGGATCCGCAATGCCGGGAGTGGATCCGTGCTGCCGAGCCGTGATCCGAGCGTGATCATGACATTACCCACCCCCCTTCAAGGCCGGTGTCCCAACAACCCATTTTGTTCGTCCCTCGGTTCTTCTTCGTCCCTTTCTTCGTTTTCTCTCCCTTTCCCCGTCTTTTCCTCCCCGTTCCCGTGCGTTCTATGCTCACTTCTTAATCCGTCCCATTGCTCCCGCATTGATTTTCGCAGACCCCGAAGTTTGATCCACTTCCCGATCGGGCGCAACCCTGACGCGCCCCTGTGCCTCGATCTCAGAAGCCGTTCCTGAAGATCGGGGTCTGCTGCGGGTTCTTGGGCTATGGTTTCACCTATTTTAGGTGCACTCCCCGCCCTCCTTTCTCTTTCTTCCTTCCCACTCTCATGCCCCCCAACGCGTCCTCTTCCCAGTCCAAACGGTCCACTGCGCGTGGGCCCCGTCCAGCGTCCACTTCAGGTGGGCGGATTCCATTCCCTATCTCTGCCCCCCATGCGACGCGCCGGCGGGAATGGACTTTCTTCCTCAGACCACCCCCTCTCTGGTACCAGCCCGCCGCTATTCCAGACCCCCGCAACCTCCTCGAGCCCCACCCATTCCGCCACCAACAGGGCCCCCGAGTCTCCGTGGATATCGACCACAACGTTTCCCTGCAGAACGCAGCTTCCGCGTCGTCTGCCGGTGTCCTGGGTCCCGAGCCGGTGTTCGTCCCTGACGAGCTTTTTCTTGCGTGGCTTCGGCGTACTTCCCTTCCCCATCTCGCATCTTTCCGTCTCCGGCACGCCGGTCCCCCCTCCCTCAACGACCTGTGCCCCTGGATTGTCCCCTTCCATGAACGTGTCGTCCCCTACGTCCCGGTTTTCCGCGTTCCCGCCGCGTTCTCCGTAGCGGACTGCGCCCACCACTTGTTGGTGCTGCTCATGTGCCTGTCCCTCTGGGAGATGGATACGGAACTCCCAGCACAACATACAACGCACAGGAAAAAACAATCTCACTTCCGCGCCTTCCCCTTTCCTTTTCGATCCACCTTCGCCTCCCCGGCCACCCCGAGTTCTGCCATCACTCCCTGCGCCACGGTTGCCATGCGCTGGAGGAAGGGAGCGCGCAGGTCTTCCGGGATGGACCACATGTAGGCAGCCAGCGCTTGTGTATCCGCCGCCACGGATTCTTCGGTTGAATCCGCCAGGTTGCAGAACGCCAGCTGCACAGGGGACGCATCGCCTGGGTCATCCATGGGGACATCGCTGGGGAATGCGCTCATCGGGTGCGCAGAACCTGACGACGCGGATGACCGCAATGCCGCCCCTGGACCATGACTCATGGACGCCTGCTGCGATGGCGGAGGAACGGGCTCGAGGTTCCCATCAAAGTTGCGGGGGTCAAGGGCAATAGGAAAGTCGTCGTCATCCGGCTCCATGGGGCGGTCGCAAGGGCGGGAGGGGGGAATGCGGATGCGAGGCTCACTAAACCTTTCAGGGGGTGGGCCCTCCATGCCCTTCTCTGCCTCCTTCTTCTCCTGCTTCCGCTGATGGTGGCAGAAAGACCGGTCGATGTTTTGCAATGGCACGAACTCGTACAAGAAATTGCGGTACGAGTATTCTTGTGCTAACCAACGAAGAGGTGGTCAGTACGCAAGACCGGAAGAACGAAAGGGAAGGACGTACCCAACGCAGGGAGCTTTGACAGTCAGGGGTCAGGTTCCAGAAGTTGGTAGTGGCCGCCCCCCAGATGCTCTCGGAACTCGAAAGAAAACCCCGCCAAGGCCTGCTCGTCACGAGCGTGGAACGCCCCGCTGAACGCGGTCCAAGTAGAACACCGCTCATGGTTCGCCTTGCAATGATAGCACGACGTACGCGGTTTGTTGGACCGCGCCCCATTAGGGTCCGTGTCTTCCGTACAGAAGCGCGAGACCTCACAACCCGTACAAGCTGGCCGCAGCTGGTGCACAACAGCGCCAACCCGACGGTGCGCCTTGCGCGCAAACAAAATGGGTGCGTGGTGGGGGTCTGGCTTCAAACGAGGCGCGGCGTGTGGGGTATGCCCCTGCAGACGCTGTGATGCGGACTGCGGTTCTGTGAACTGCCTGACCCGGGTGGGTAAAGTCAAGTAGTGTTTTACAGAATTTAATTCGTCCTCTAGGGGGAAATTGCTCTGTCGCGGAGCTGCGTAGTTTAAGGTACGCTAATGCGCGATATATAATTTGTGGTGTGTGTGTGTGTACAGTTCTCTCCGTTTCGGATTGAACACTTTGCCAGGTTCCTCGAAGATTTAGTTCTTCGTTGGGGGCTGGCCTTCCGAAGGTACCGCGGATGGATAGTTTTCTACACCTGCTCGAAGGGTACGCTCCGCAATGCGAATGCTGTCCCGTTCCGGGGTACTCGGGTTATCTGTGGTGCTTTATCCACCCGTCTCGAACGTATCGGACGGCAGGTCTCTTCAGTACAGTGCAACACTATACGGACGGCTATAGCGATTCCCTTCGTAGCCTGGTTTCTCCGTTGGTGAACGCCTTGAGACGGAATCACTTCCGTTTCGAAGACTCGGGGGTGAAGTGTGCGAATTGAATGGGGGAAATGGTATGATCGTGTAGGATAGGCCTTCCGTGTACGATGGGGTGGGTTCCTCGCAAGGATATGCGCTCGAACTCCGAAAAGGAACGGTTGCACGAAGCCAAGTTAGGCGACTGGCCGTTTGGTGGTGTGCCGCGTAATCTACTACCGCACGCTTTCAACTCCGGATTGACTATATTTCCCCCATATCGATTTATCGAAACGGAGGCGAGACGGACAGGGTTTCTTGACAAGCCCTGGCCTCTTGGGTGACCTTGGTTTGTCCTACTATTGGGCGGCACGACCCGTAGCGGAGTGTATTTACAGCCCTTTGCGGAACTTAGGGCGCGGACAGTTTTTTTTTTTTTTCATGCTTTTCAACGAGAATCGTTATTTCGAGCTCAGTTCTTGTCCGTTTGCCTTATAAATATGCTCATTGTGTCCGCAATGAAAATGCGGAGGGCACCACGGTCTTCGTTTTCCCTGATGCGATCATAATTGCCTTATTGGGAAAATGTCGCTCTTTTTGTACAGAACTTGTCGCATCCTCTGTGCTGTGGTCAGATTGACCTATAAATTTGATATGACGTCTTTATGAGTATTACGAAGGGCTGGACGGACCGGTATTTCCTCATATTGTATCTATTTCTTGTATACAAGGTATTCAGATATCCCACATTATGAGAATGCAAAATACCGGTGAACTAAGACACACATTCAAAATCCCGGTCCATCCAGCCCTCAATGATACTCATAAAGACATCATATCAAATTTATAGGTCAATCTGACCACAGCACAGAGGATGCGACAAGTTCTGTACAAAAAGGGCGACATTTTCCCAATAAGGCAATTATGATCGCATCAGGGAAAACGAAGACCGTGGTGCCCTCCGCATTTTCATTGCGGACACAATGAGCATATTTATAAGGCAAACGGACAAGAACTGAGCTCGAAATAACGATTCTCGTTGAAAAGCATGAAAAAAAAAAAAAACTGTCCGCGCCCTAAGTTCCGCAAAGGGCTGTAATTTAGTTCCCCACCCCGGTGTACTTCAGGGGGAGTAGCTTTAGGTATATGCAGTGGGAGGTAATAAGATGGTCATTCCGTATCATACAGCTAGCTTTTATACCATACTCTGTCCGATACTCGCGCGCGTACTTATACCCTTAATTGGAAACGGATGTTCCTCCTTTTCAGTTCTGACTCGCCTCTGTGATCGCCCACGCGTTCCCGATTCTGAAGGGGTTAAAAATTGACTCGAAGCAGCCTCGTGCCGCCTCCGTTTCCCGTTTCAGTCACCCCGTTTCCCAAGAACCCCCTGCATTCTGTGTTTAGTCACTCCGTTTCCCATACCGCAGCCACTCCGTCTCCGTTTGCTCCCCCGTTTCCTTCTCCTTAGCACCGGCCAGATGGCGCAACGGTAGTGCGCGTGAGATTCGTGTATGTTGACCAATGTATGCTCGCGAGGTCTTCGTTCGATTCGAAGTCTGGCCATGTTACACCATCAAGGAAACTTTTGCCTTCGTTTCATTTTTGAGTGAAGGCGCGTCGAGTTTTGAGTAAACGCTCATTGAACGGCCAGGTAGCGCGTGCGAGAATCAATATTTTCCTCCCCGATCCTTGCTTGTAGGTTCCCGTTTGATTCGGAGTCTGTTGTTCATATAATTCAAATCAGGTTCGTCTCATCTCCTTGTCCGTTTGTCGAGTCCTAATCACGGCCAGGTGGCGGAATGGTAACGCGTGCGAGACTCATACAGACACCACATCGTTGTTACTCGCAGTGTCTCCGTTCGATTCGGGGTCTGGCCTTTTTATTTGGAGGCACGATTGCTTGACATATTCTTGTATACGGAGTTTTCGTCGTGAGTATGATTTTCCTCCCGTTTGGCCGCGTTCGGAGCGCATCACAAAGTGACAGCTCACAACGCACCGACTTCTTGGAGCGTTTGCGTGGGGGCTGTGGAAGTGCGACTCGCCCCGCTCATCGCCTTCGGGTTATGAGTCAGTTTCAAGCTCGAACCAAGTTCTTCAACATGATACCCCGTGATTTTGTTCTCTCCATACATTTACCACATCGCACTCGTTTGACTTTTACACTCATCTTCCTTGCCCTCATACCTCTAGATTTCGTCCACCGCTCTACAAACCAGATGTTACCTATTTTATGCTCAAGCTATTCAACCGAACAGTTCAAGTCCAAATATTTGTTTATCCACCAAATATTACGTTACAGATGTTTCACACTCTACCTCGCACTCCTTGCTCACTCACCTCATATACCACAGACTCTCTGCATTTTCTCCTACATACCGCCAACGCGACGAGTTGAACCTGAGTCATCGGCCTTCTCGGACTACGCCGGGGATCGAGCCGACTGTGGCTTGGGCACCCACACGTCAACGTCTTGGGGGGGACGTGCTCTCCCTATTCCGTCTTTGCGTAGTTCCCGGATCGTTCGAATGGCGAAAGTTCAACTTTAGCAGTGGCTTTTCACGGACTCACTTACATATGGGGATTGTTATTTGTTTACACCGGACATTTACGTTACTTACCTCTCTTTATCCCTTACGACCACGTCGAATCTACTTTTGCTGAATATCTCTCGCGCATCCACGTTCCTTTGAGTCTGTTTAAGCTAAGTTTCACATTCTATCTTTCTTAGTTCCTGATCTACGCCTACGTTGATTATTTCCCAGCCCCGGCACTTATTTTCACCTCAAGCCTCGACAGCCGGCCAGCACGACCTTGACACCACTCAGGTCCACCTGAGGACCTACCCCATCTTCTACAGGGCGAATGCGAATCGCGGTGAGGCGGGAGACCAACGGGAGGAGTGGGAGGCGCGACAGGGGGCGTCGCATGACGGTGCGAGCCAGCCGTGCGAGGGCGCGAAGATCGGCGGGGCGGTGGAGGCGTGGACTCCACCTCCTCATCGCTCAATATCGAAACTACGGATGGCGCACGTTTGCGCTGTCGGGACGGGATCTCCACGTACACCCGAGGAGGACTGGGCGGCGGGACCTCAACGAAATCCTGGAGGAGCCAAGGATTGACCGTCGCCGTTGGTGGCGAGGGAGGGATGACTGGAGGGGGGGTTGGAGACGGAACTTGCGGAGGGGGAGACGGTGAGCGAGGTACGCTCGCCCCGTGGAACTCTCGTGGATCCAGCAAGCTGTGGGAGATGAAGGAATCCAGCTCGACCCCCACCAGTACGGAGCTGGTAGCTGAATGATCCAGCTCAGCCTTTGTTGTCACCAACTTCAGCCAAACCTAGAAGGATACGAACGCGTCAGCACAAGAAAGCACGAACGAGGGAAAGAACTCACCGTCAAGGGCCTCCATCATGTTTGTGGCCTCGAAGAAGACAGAGTCCTGGTTGAAAAGACGGCCCGCAGTGGGAAACCGCGGATCCTCCCAGTTCTGGGGGAGTAGGCGGATGGTGGCGGGCGCACGCGGATGAATGAAACGACTTCGACGCGCGACTCGCGCACGCGTGCGCTGCAACTCGTTCAGCCGCTGGTCAGAGTCCCAATCCGGCTGCATAAAATAGATGGCCGAGTCGAGCAATGCCTCGTACTGCGGAGAGTACGCGACCTGCGCCCCGTGTTGAGACAGAAAGAACAGGTAATGTTCCAACCGCAGCTGGGGATGCCGGGCGGAATATCAGCCAAAACAATTGAATGACAAAAAAAAAGAAGACAACGTACGACACGATTTAGTAGCTCCTCGGCATTGGTGACGGGGTCCCCATTGAAGAGCTCGATCGTGGCCACCAGGATGTCCATTTCATGGTGGAGGCAAGCCGCCAAGTCCATGGGGGGAAGATTTTCGGAGTAGCGGAACAAGAAATTGGACCCGTCGTGACGCCGAGCCCAAATCACCAAGACTTGGTAGCGGTGCGGGCCCAACACTTGCACAGAGTACCACATAAAGAGGGCGTACGACAGGAAGGTCTCGTGAGCGACGTCCGCCAGCGAGAAGCTTGCTGGGAGGGACAAGGGCGAACTCCCGAGGGTGCGACTGGGCGAGAAGTAATAGTGGCGAGGACGGTCCAAACACACGCCGCGAACGGGGCCCGGCTCAAGATTGAAGAGCCAACGAAAGAAATCGAGGTCGACGATGCGATGACTCGCGTCAGACACGACGGGCGGCGCAAAGCGACGAGAAACAAGGAGCTCCGGTTCGCGGCCTGAGTATGGACACACAGCGTCTAAATCCGCTGGATTCCAACCAAATTCCGCCAACGCGGGGAGAGCGCGTGGGGAGGCGAACCAGACGGGACGTTGCGAGGTGAACAGGTGCAGAACGTTGAGATTGAGGGGAGGGCGAGGCTGTAGGAGGTCCCGAGGAAGTGGGGGAATGGGGAAGTGCTGCAGAGAGAGGACGAAAACATATTGGCGAACGTAGCGCCTGGGGTTTGTGGCGGGGGCGGACATGGGGGACAAAAGAGAGAGGAGGCCGACGACCCTGAACCCGGGTTGTTAAAACATATGCTTCGCGGCCTGGGGCCAGAGCCGGAACATCACTAGCCGCGAGTTCACCAAGAAGTCTAACTTTTGTTGGGACAGGACCTGGCATTTTAGCCCTCGACCCCCACTTTTTGCTGGGACAGAACCTGGGTTTCGCGCTCGAAACCTCGAATTTTTGTCGGGACGGGGCACCTGGCATCGAGGCTCCCTAAAACCCGACACCGCGACACGGCGGCTAGTCTTCATTAATTCCGACACATCCCAAAATCCGGGGCCAAAAAGGCCTCATTTCTCTTGAATTCCGACACATTGCCAAGCGTACATACCTTTCACGTTGAACTGATGTCGCATCCCGGAGTACGCCGAGCCATCGATATTTGATCGGGAGTGCACATGACCTAGCAACGGTCGCGGCAAAATAGGAGAAGGAAAGTTGGAACACGTGTCTCTCCTGGGTTACGACATGTCTTTTCAGTGTACTGATCCATTACAACGAAATTAGGGAATCACTGACCTAAACTTCAGTGGGCTCTTGGTGTGCTCAGTGACTCTAGTTGCGCTGAGGCACACACCAATCTATGGATTAACTGTAAGGTAGGTTCCTTCGATTCACCTGCACAGGCCTTGCACACTAGTCTCTCTTGACAGACACTCTATCAATACCTAGCTCGTACCTCGCTTGATAGAGTCTGTTGGTTCCCGCGTAACTTACCCGGTATCCTGCGTTATGAGGTAAGCATCACGAATGCTTGAACAAATAAAGTTTTAGCGAGACGCGTCTGGACGTGTTTTTCCTGGCTTGCGTTGATTTGAGCAACCAAAACCACTCAAGAACGTTGGGGCTCCGATTAGAGTGATCCCGCCAATTTTTCCTGCTTGAATGAGCTTTCCTGCGAAAGTTTATAGAAAATACAGGCAGAAAATATTCACTTTTGATTGACTGGGTCAGAAGCCTGAATGGAACCACAGGAAGTCTCCTGTATTGCTTAGGGCCCGAATACGGCCTTAATATCAGCATTCGACGCGTCGTTTGCCTCACGCACGTCCGAGTCGCGTTCCGGGAGTGTGCACGTGAGTGATGCTTATATAATAACGCAGGATACCGGGTAAGTGAGCGTGGTAACTAACAGACTACTTGCACACTGTCACTTACAGGCCCTCTCCTTTCATTCGAAGACCGAACGAAGCTTTACCGGTTTGCCTTGAGGTGTTGAATGTTGAATTTATGATTCAACTAACCGTTCCGACTCAATACAGCTGACCTGACCTTGATGAATACTCTGTATAGTCGTTCCAAGGTCAACAGTTAACGGCCCATACAAACCTATTGTTATGCTCTCTAATTCCTAATCCTGCACTCATTGAGCTCAACGTTGTTCAATTTATCTCAATGGGCGTCAACATGTCTGCTCGAAGGCAAGTGTGTTCGTATTTTCATCCCGAAGCGAATTTAATAGTAACTGATCTCTCGTTCACTAGAATTAAACAAGCCTTCAATGTCCCAAAGGTGTGTGATGCATGCGTGATACATATCCATTCATTCACTCACGTATCCCTAGTCTACTGTATGAAACTGGAGGAGGACCACTTAAGTTGTACACGTTGTAGACCAACATTCAACTTAAGTTTCGCACAATTTAAGTTGCGCATTCAGCGCCCCAGGGCGCCCTCACTACGCCGTCCGTAGACCCCCCCCTGAACAGGAACTTAAGTCCTCCCAGCACTTAAGTTGTGGGCGGTGACTTAAGTTCCTCCACCACTTAAGTGTTACAGGACTTAAGTTTCGTACAGACGACTGAAGTTCCTGAAAGACTTTCAAAACTTAGGTTAGTGTAATATATTGTTGTGGCTGTGAAACGACGATCAGCGACGCGACCTGGCCGACGGGTGGGAGGGAGGGAGGGGGCAGTGGGGGCAGTTAAAGCGAAATGTATTAGAAGTCCTTGTATGCTCTATGTATGTCCTGTACGCAATGAGTATTCTTCCTAAGACAATCTCCGCATTGGGCGTGGCCACATAAATGCACGCACCTGAGGGTATTGTTGATCGGAGTTCACTGGAGTCTGAGGAGTGAGTTGGGTGAAAGGAATTAAAAGAGGGAAGGTGTACTGGTGAGGCAACACTCACAGATTTTCGGATTTCTGCACGACACCGTTGCCACCGGCCGGTCCTGTGTGCTTTGGGAGAGCTGAGGGAATTCTCACTCTTGCCACCCTAATAATTACCGTGACTGTAGAATGCGGTACACGGTAGCTCTCCGCAACATGTCGGGTTGGCGTCCACAGAGAGTTTGGCGGGGGAGTGTAGAAGGCAAAGAAGAGAAGAGACCTAACCACCACA